TGTATATTGATCGAGGAAGAAACTGATGAAGAATTATCAAATAAATGCATTTTTCGGCAGAATAGCACTATTTTCTCATTGTTGTCGGGATATTTTTTTTTCATTTCTAGATACCAGACTAATTTGAATCAATCTTATTTACATATAAAGTACGAAATCATGTCCTTAGGAAAGTGTTATGCTTAATTTAACAAATCCATAAACCAATATAATGTCATTGTATGAGATGATAACTTGCTTTTAAGAAGTTCTACACTGAGTTTGGAGTTTAAGTGAATGGTTTGGATAAGTGTAGTAATGAGATGTTACGAACAGTAATTAATCTCAAAATTCTTTAAAACAATACAAATTGCATTAAAATATAGTAAATAGAATTACATTCTTACCCCTCAGAATTTTCGATTTTTTTTTTTTTAAGTTTTGCATAATTTCCAGGATGGTTAACGCTGACTGGCGAAATTATAGATAAATAAAATTTGTGGTTGCATGTAATCAAGAAAAAGTACAAATCAAAATGTTTTGGTTCTACTCAACCTAAACATTGCTAAAAATTATAAACTGAATAGCTCTAAAAATCAATAATTTTTGTATATATTGTAAGACAGATAAACATCACCCCTCTTTTAATATATTTTTACGATTCAAAATAGTTACGTAGAGAAAATCTATAACTGCAAGTTTTAAAATTTTGTTGAATGATATCATCAAAAATTGAAACAAAAGCAATTACCGAAAAATTAATTAATATATATACTGATAGGAAGTTCGTTTCATAGCCATCCAAAATTTAACATATATCTGGACATTCTCGGAAAGACGTACTTTTCCTATTCGTGTTCATGTGCAAACATGACCAGGGTGCTTTTTACTTCTATCGTTGAAGACTATCACGACCACCAACGCGTTCTTATTTCATCACCACGTATTTATGTAGCTTCCAGGCTCCTTGTGTTTTATCACTAGAGTATCTTCTCCCGAACAGATATACACAGACGCTGTATTTTTAACTGATATGTGATCTACTGAACCTCTACTAACGACTGTTTGACCTTAGCTGTCAGATCATAAGCATTATGCGTATATCCCTTTATTCCTGTTTCATTTCCAGAAAGTCGCGCAATCCAAGCAGTTAAGGTTCCATTAACTTTTTAACGTTTAAGAGAAGTAAATGCTGGAACTATAGATATTGATAAATAAAAAAAAGTGTCAGAGAGACATGTGAAATAGTAAATAATTTTCCAGATATACGTATTTGTATGGAAAATTTAACCAATACCATTATATTGGACATTCATTTTCGTCAGCTTCTCTTGCAAGTCGACAGTCGATAGAGTTTCTCTGCAGTGCCCTTCAACTTCATAATCCCACATGTGCTCTTCCTGATTATAATAATGTTTAATATCATTTTGCTTATCAAATGGACAAATTAAAACATTTTCATAATTAATCAATCAAAGATACTAGATCACGATTATTTCTGTTTTCATAAAATTTCCCATCATTGTTGGGGTATTAATCTGTTAATGTTTATGCATGTATAAAAAAAAATTTGTTTACTCCGCACATTTCACTGATCATTGATTGACAATACTTGTGAGTTTGTTTGGCTTTCTCACATTTTTGTCTGACGTTTCTGGAAGATAGTTATATTTTTTCATTAATACACAATTTTCCACTATCACTTTCTTAGATGAAATATGTTTACAAGCATTCTTTTTTTTTTTTTAAATATTTCGGTAATATGTCGGTGAGAAGTGCTAATGTAACATATTTGAAGGAGAAAATATTATCTAATGGTTGGTACCGTATTTGTGGTTAAAGTCATGTGGAAAAAAATGCTCATACTTTCACTTCCATTCCTTTGCCCCCGTGGGGATCCGGGTTAGAATAGGTCCTCAGTACCCCTTCCTTGTCGTAAAAGGCGACTAAATGGGGCGGTCGTTCGGATGAGACCGTATAAACCGAGGTCCCGTGTCACAGCAGGTGTGGCACGATAAAGAAATATTCCTTTATTATTTTCCAATTTCAAAGAAATGGATTGATTGATTGATTGCATACTGTTTAACGTCCCTCTCTAGAATATTTCACTGATATGGAGACGTCACCATTGCCGGTGAAGGGCTGCAAATTTAGGCCTGCTCAAAGGCCGTAAGTGCCGAGCATAGGCCTAAATTTGCAGCCCTTCACCGGCAATGGTGACGTCTCCATATCAGTGAAATATTCTGGAGAGGGACGTTAAACAGTATACAATCAATCAATCAATCCATTCCTTTGAAATTGGAAAATAAGTAAAAAATATTTACGACTCATTGTCATTATTTCCTTCTCTTATATAAATGCTAAAGCCCTGATGCTCCTCTTAGATCAAATACTTCGCTTTCGTTAAAAAAAATTGAAGGAAATTGATTACGGGAAAATTTATTCTGCCTTTTAAGACCAATCGATCTAACAGAATGGTTGAGCCTTGTAATTTCAACAATAAAAAGACCTTAATAAAGTGAACAGTTTTCTAGTTCAATTTCATTTAACCTCATCAAGTATTTATAAAGCTGGAAAGAGAGGAAACTTATCAGCCTCATCCATCATATATTCCAAACACACAAAGGTATACTAACCGTCGATGCATGTTTAAACTAGACAGAAATTCTTGCTAAAGACAGAAAACCGTGTTCGATTTTTTTTTCTGAGCTTACAACCTTGCCATTTGTCTGCCAAAAAAACCAGAAGTCTCTGTCGAGACTGTAGCTCTACTAATTTGTACTTATCAAAAACCATTGCACTATTTTATGTATCTTTGTGTAGTCTACTTGTGTGCCAACTTATTTTGAAATCAAACTAAAACTGTAGAAGGAGTAGCGTTTTAAAGGAATTTCACAGAAAATTCTATTTTTATTAACCATGGTAACACCGTTCATCGAAATCAAAAACCGATGCACTATTCTATGTATCTTAGTGTAGTCTACTTGTGTGCCAAGTTATATTGAAATCAGACCAAAACTGTAGAAGGAGTAGTGTTTTAAAGGAATTTCACAGAGAATTCTATTTATAGTAACCATGGCAACACCGTTCACCAAAATCAAAAACTGATGCACAATTCTATGTATCTTAGTGTAGTCTACTTGTGTGCCAAGTTATATTGAAATCTGATCAAATCTGTAGAAGGAGTAGCGTTTTAAAGGAATTTCAGAGAAAATTCTATTTTTAGTAACCATGGCAACACCGTTCATCGAAATCCAAAACCGATGCACTATTCTATGTATCTTAGTGTAGTCTACTTGTGTGCCAATTTATATTGAAATCTGATCAAATCTGTAGAAGGAGTAGCGTTTTAAAGTAATTTCACAGAAAATTCTATTTTTAGTAACCATGGCAACACCAATCATCGAAATTAAAAACCGATGCACTATTCTATGTATCTTAGTGTAGTCTACTTGTGTGCCAAGTAATATTGAAATCAGACTGAAATTGTAGGAGGAGTAGCGTTTTGAAAAATTGTTTACAGACAGACGGACAGACAGACAGACGGACGGACGGACGGACGCCGGACGCATTACTATCGCATAAGCTCTTCTGGTCTCTGACCAGTAGAGCTAAAAAAAAAGATTGATTTAACGGTCCTTGAAAAATTAAACGTAACATTTAGAATTGCACAACTCCTTTAAATTTTTTTTTTTTTCATATATCTATGTCGAGTATTTTTGCATCCCCCTAACATTTAATAGCTTATCTTAATCAGTTATGACTAGAATGAAATTTTGAGGCAATTATATATTTTTATGCCCCCCATCGAAGAAGGGAGGGCATATATTGCTTTGCTGTTGACTGTCGGTTGGTCGATCGGTCCACAATCAGTTTTCGTTCATTTTCTTCGCAGAGATTGCACATATTGAAATGAAAATTGGTATACACTTTCAGAGAATTTTTCACTCATATGGACTCGACGCCATGCACTTGTCGGTGGAGAGTTGTACATTTTGGGTTATGCTCGGAAGTCAGGGCTATTGAGCAGTGAGGGATTTTTTTCATGTCTGCATCTGGTCAAGGTAACATCGAAGGTCGCTTAATCTATGTTTTTTTTTTAATTGTAATGCAGTAGAAAATACAGACATGCTTATAAGCAAGACTAAAATAAAGAACTAGATTAATATGAGCTCCTCAATTAGTTTTGAAAGATTATACAGCGTTTATTTGTTTTTTAACGTCGCTCTCTGAAGTTTTTCACTCATCTGGAGAGAACGCCACTTGAAAATTTTGACTTGCATCTCGAAACTCGGGTCATTGAGCAGTGAGGAATTTTTTCATGTCAGCACCTACTATGACACGGGACCTCGGTTTATATACTAGTATACTTTCTTACCGGAGGACAGGTCTCCACGTCCCCAAAATGGTAATTGGGAGTCGAGCCTGCGACGTAAGGATCACCTCCATACACCTTGAGTCGTGGAGCTTCTCTTACCACTGCGCCACGTGGGCGACTGTAGAATTCTATATAGAGTTATGGATATATATCTTGACACTTTAAAGACATATTTGAAAGATTTCTCAAATTAATACCTTGTAATTTTTAAATAAGAGAAACGTCTGATCGATGAGAAAAATCGATTGTAGATTGATATTCCTCTTATGTAACTTACAGTATTGTTAAAGGAACATCCAACTACATGTATATGTGTTTGAGTGTTAGCGAGGCGAGCAAATAGTTCATTAAAATTGAAGTGTTGTCAAGCTTGAACTCAATACGAAGATTCTTATTAGAACAATGTTATGCAAATATTAAATATGTGCAATAGGAATAATTAAGTTGCCATTATTTCTTTGAGACGCAATGTTGATACTCAAATATTAAAGATGTGATTTAGAGACCAATACTCAAGAATGAAAGTGATACAAGACTTTGTAATAAAATGAAAGGGAGGCACTGATAGCGTTATTAGTGAAATCCCAGCTGTTTCTTGACATGTATTTTTAAATGAGATATGTGCATGCAGTCTTTATAATGAAATTTTTAGAAGGAAGAATAATTTATAAACTACTTAATCATCTAAGAGTTATGTATTTGTTGCAGACATATTTCCTGACTTCAATCAGCGATGGTCAACAACAGAGGTAAATCTGTATGTAAAAAAAAAAGCTAATTGAACTTTTTTGTTTCTTATCATTTGTACAATATTCTCTGTGGCAAAATGTTTGTAATGTGTGATTATAGTTGTGAGTTATTATTCTACAAAAGTTTTATTTCTTGGCACCTGGACCCATTCCAATTACTCATTTGTGCTACTCAAGTCGTCCTGCACTCGGCAGAATAGAGAAGCTAGTGCCCACCCCCATCCATTCCACTTCCTTTGCCGGGTTCGGCCTCAAAGATATAGTACTTAGTGCTGAAATCTTATTTATTCTGCATGTACCTTGGGAAAGTACACTCAATGTATGATAAGAGTTTTGAATGAAACATATGAAGATAACGAACAGTATTCAAGATCAAAAGTCCATAAAACAATACAAAATAGCAGAGCATACACCGACCTCCAAAACACCAGAAGCGGGATCAGGTGCCATGGAGGAGTGAGCATCCCCTGCCGACCGGTCACACTCGCCGTGTGCTCCTTGTCATGATCGGAAAATAACGGGAAAATCAGTGGTCAATTCATTGTATAAATAATGGACTAAGAATTAGAATGAAAAACGTCAGTCAGCATTTGACTCGATGATAAATTGTATTTGCTGACAAGGTCATTGTATCGACCATAGAACTTACGAAATGATGACTTTAAACGAGGCTGCTGATATTCTTATTTCATTAACTCGTTTGTCAGTAAGTTGCCTCGTTTTCGAAATTGTTTGTACGTAAAGGATTCTCTTGCGTATCAAATCGACTGAGGTGTATTAACTCCGTATGCAGGTGATTAAGGTGTATTGCTGCATATGTATATGGGAAGCTGACGACAGAAAAGTTAAAGTCATCACGTTTATCATAGAGCTTGGTTGTTAGATTTTTTTTCAAGTAAAATATCCAAACATAAAACAGATGTGTCAGACTCTGTGGTATCTGTTAGCCCAAGCTCACCAGGATGTATCGTATCGACATAAGAATGGAAAAGACCATTGTTAATTGACAATACGCCGTCGATATATATATCTAAATGCCGAGTTACAGGCCGCAGCAAGTGTTTTCTTCTCTACACGCATAAGGTTTTGCATAAATTCTTCATATCAATATAGAAAATAGGTCGGAACAGGGCACAAACGAATTAATACTTTAGTTAATATATATTTTGTAGGTGCAATTTTATATCTTTATTCACTATATTTAATGAAAATCATGCATGTTTTGACATTCTCCTACTCATACTCAAAACAACAAGCTAATTCAGAGAATTCGTGTCCCCCGCTTAGGGAAAAAGTCGGATCCCCCTGACTGAATTTGTAGAATTATTAAATGTATACATGTATACTGAAGCAAATAAAATACATGAATGTCAATATGCATCTAAAGATTTGATTGCTTATTCTTTCTTATGTGTATAGAAGATTCATTTTATATGGAATATTTATCACACTGTAATGATGATTTTGTAACCTCATAAATTTTTCATTTCAGCATAGAAAAGTATTTAAAAAAAAAGGATCGACCGAGATTCGATCCCGAGACCTCTCACATGTAAGTCGAGAGACATATGTACCACTAGACCACGCAATCGCTTTACGTAGAGTTAAGTATATGCAGAACTAAAGTCACATACATGTATATATTCATGTTCGGTATTCTCAAAATTTTACACAATCCATGGTGTTTGATTTATTTAGCCTTTATTAAACAGTTCTAATAGATGTAATAAGAACATAAAGTCCGCCGAGAACCTGTTATATACGCAATAACTCTCCTCATGCCCCTGTGCTAAAAATAGCGACATGTAATACTATATATACTTATAAAACAAACGGGGCGGGGCACTTTGAGAGGGATGAGATAGGTCCTAGGGAGTTTTGGTATAAAATTACATTGAATAAGCTCAAAATCTTCTTGAAATATCGCCCGGAAATGATAGTGTTACAAACAGACAGAATGTATAAATTTACGACCTTGAACTTTGACCTTTTGACCTCAAAATCAATAGGGTCTTCATTAGGCCAAAGGAATTGTTATGTAAAATTTCATTGCAATAGCTCAAAGGGTTCTAGAGATATCGTGTGGAAACGAAAGTGTTATAACAGACAGAATTTGCTTATTTATTACCTTGACCTTTGACCTTTTGACCTCAAAATCCATAGGGGTCTTCTTTAGTCCATAGGGAGTTACTATGCTAAATTTCATTGCAAAAGCTTAAAGGGTTCTCGAAATATCGTGTGGAAACGAAAGCGTTACAGACAGACAGAAATACGGACGGACGGACAACCCCAAATTAATATCCCCCACTTTTCAAGCGGGGGACAAAAATTGGGTTCATTACTTTCTCTTTTTACTTTCTCTTTCAAATGAATATACTCTGAATCATTTTTTGGGGGCTCTTGAGGCATCATAATATAAAACACCTATCAGATGAAATATTTCTATGTCTATTCATCCAAAGCAATGTAAACAAATTGACCTTCTCAAATAAGTATTGCAGAACCAAATACAACAATCAATGGATGGTGTTGTTTATGTAATAGTGATCTACAAAATTAATGCTTGTAATAATTATATTAATGGGAAATATATTCTGAAGTAAATGTGTTAACTGTAGTACATAAATAATAAAGTAAAAGGAAGGGGATATATTAAACTTTCCCTGTGATTAATATTGAATCAGTAAATATGCAAAGCGGAGAGTTATTTTAAATTTTCATTGGAATGAAACGGGTTTGATTTAAAAGAAGACAGAAAAAAGATTATTATCTAAATTAAAGGCTGCTGTTGTGAATGTACATGTATAAGCAATATCGAAATAAGACCTCTTTATTAAGCATTTCTGTTGAAGTCGTTAAAAGTTGCTCAGGTATGACATATTTACCTTGACGACGCGTATAAAGAGTTTACATAACCAGCCTTTTACTGAATTAGATGTTAATAATTGCAAAAAATACAATTAAATGTTATATCGTAAATGTACATGTACCAATAGAAACAACTTATAGGAGCAAAGGATTTCTTGACAGAAAATGTAATAATCATCATCAAGTTCAAAGACTTCTTTTTACGCATTTAAAAGATTCATGAACGTTAATGCTAGTATTCATTAAAACCAGAAGAATGTATGATTCACAAAGCTTTAGTTATAAAGTTTCATCTTTTTTTATTTTAGAAAAAATGCAATAAAAGTTATCTAGGAAAATTGTACCTAATGCTAGATAACATTAATTAAATATTCCTTTAGATCAGTAGCATAAACAGTCTCTAACAGGTTTGGTAAAGTCTTTCTATTAATGCTTTTTTTCCCACGTATATGCCTTGTACTTTAGTTTAAAAAAGCTTAAAAGAGCAAATCAAAATACATAATTTAGGACATATATTTTACTGTAAGTAGTTTACTTTTGCTTTTCTCTAACTTTTATAATGGCATAAGACAAAAATGTAATTGAGATATTTAAAAAATATTCACTCCTACTAAAGAAATATCCACTTACGTTCATACATGTATCTATTCTGAGTAATATTATGAATATCTAACTAGAATGAAAGGAAAATATATGGTTCAAAGATCATGGAACAAACGAAGACCTAATATTACGAACGGTGATCGATCTCAAAAATAAACAAATAATTAACTATGTGGGAAGGACATACCGGTTAACACGGACTCCTGGATATTTCAGGGGTGGGATCCCGGAACATTATGTAATCAAATTAAAAACGAAGACCTAACACTTGAACAATTGATATAAAACAAGTGCAGCCAAAATAGGGCTTAATGATAGGGAATGAAACATTTGGAGATAACGAACAGTTTATGCTAAAATGCGATTATAACGATCAAATATTTTTCTAAATGCCGACTTACACGAGGTTGTTGAAATCTGTGTAACATCAACTTATCTGTCAGTAGTTGATCAAATTTTCGATCATTTCAGATATTTGTATTCATTGTTAACTTTAATTTTAACTTTGTAAATAGTAGCAATTAAGTGATGCAATATTATATTTTAATAATTACAGTTGAGTTTCGAACATTCGACTCCCAACATCATTTCAGCACAATGTACAAAGTTCTGCTCTGCTCAATATCCTTCACGATCCTTCACGGTCTAAAGTTATTGTCACTTTTTTTTAATATAAGACAATCGGAAAAACTCACTTGGATTAAATATAAAGATAAGATCTTAAGGAAACTTCTTTTGCGGTCCGAGTTTTAGTTAAGGAATACATATGTAACTGTCTTATTTTTTAGATTTCATGATGTGATCAAAAAATTGGCTTGCAAGCCAATCGATTGATCATCATCATGAAATTAAAAAATTCGACAGTTATTCCTTATATTTACATGCTTTTGATTCCGCCAATCCACGTGCTCAAAACCTTTTTTTTTTTACAAAACAATCGGAAAAACTCACTTGGATTAAATATAAACTTAAGATCTTAAGGAAACTTCTTTTGCGGTCCGAGTTTTAGTTAAGGAATACTTTAATTTCTGAGATGACAGGAATTGCCTTTGGGCCCCTTGAATGTAACTTTTTTAATGGATTTACAAAATATACTAAAGTGATTGTAAAGTCAAAAATCTATCGGGTTTTCAGCCTTTAATGATTGATTTCCGCATATTTTACATAATTGGACTCTCATCATTTGGGATTGCTGTTAATTATAGGAACATTTCCTGCGGCTTTTTCTCAGAATTTTCACTATAATTGTGTTCGATTATTGATGTAACAGGTATCAGAAATTAAAATGAAGGCAGTCGTTGAAAAAAAAAAAAGAGATTTAATCATTGGTAAGCTTTGACGTGCATTGAAAAAAATTGATTATTTTAATCCGATAACCTTGTTTTATTTTATTTTTTTTTAACCTTTTTGTTTAACTTGAATACAAAATGAAACTGATTTATTCTGACTCTAATTTTCAAAATAAATATCTTGGTATTCAATAAGTAAACCTAGGAACATTCATTCTGATTTCAAATTTTATTGTAAACGAACAACATGGGGTACCTGTGTTGCAGAGGGGTTTAGTAATAGGAGTTTCGTAATGTAATAACATTTAAATACATGAATGCATAATTATGTGCAATACATTTTAGAAAACTTCAATCAATAAATAAACATTGATTGTAATTTTTAGAGTGTATTGAACCTCGTGATTAATAATTAATCAGTCTTTTACACAGATTGATTAAATGATATGTGCTGTATGCTTCACCTAGGATAAAGTGTTGTCAAATGAACAAATTTCAAGAACAAAGTAATCCCCAGATTTAACCAAAATCAATACATTGTCAATATTGTGTTATTATTGACTTTCTGTACCTCTCAATCTTCGCAACCAGAGAGATCAGCCATGTATAATTAAAGAATTATCCTGTAATATATCTTTATATATGACAGAATAAATATAATCACATGTATTATTCAATGCACTAGAATTTCATGCGCATCAAAAATAACAATAAATCTGGTCAAGGTCACATCGAAGGTCGCTTGATCTATTCTTTTTTTTTTAATTGCTAGATTAAATAGAGGTACGTTCTGTGAGCCCTGAGCTTAATAAATGGTACCCCCACCCACCGTATGATTATGACAAAGTTCATGTTTTGCTTTTGAAGATTCGATATAAGGGTCAGATCAAATTGTAAAATAGCAGGTCATGATGGCATTATGTTATATAGAATCTTTGAAATATGAGTCGGATCAAAATTTAAAATAGGAGGTCACAATGGCATCATGTAACAAAGATTCTTTGAAAGTCTCATTAAATTTCATACAGAGTGGTATAAGAGGAGTTGCGGATAAGAGATGGGTACCCTAAAGCGAAAGAGATGGACGGACATACAGACAGACGGACGGGCGGACATCCCGATCACTATACACCCTCCCACTTTTCAAGCGGGGGTTTAAAAAGAACTGGGTTATAAACTCATCTATTTTAAGAATATAGCATTTGTAACTGTTGAAGCAACGAGACAGACAAATTAAATTTATGGAAATTCTGCCTTCAACATATCGATCCTTTGATTTAGTTCCTGTAGCTGAAGTTAAAACATATAGTCGAAAACTTCTGGCAAAAAGTCCGCCTTTGCATTTCGCCGAAACTGGTTACATCTGAGATTTAGAATTAATTGTTCAATCAACGTTTTCATGTAATTTTGCATATAACTTTGCATAATGTATACATAGGTTATATCAAATGGAAACGAAGATGACACTTCATAATTTGTAGATAGATAAAGGATATATCAAATGAAAATGAAGATTCGGAAATTTCCAGATACACTATATTTTAACTGATTTTGTTATAAACTTAGAAAACTTTTACTTGATGTGTAGAATTGGTTGAATACTAGTACCTTTTTAAATGGACAATTCGAAGGCGTTTTGTTAATGGATACGACATTTCAGTCCAAGATCTAAGTCGTCTTTTCATATTTAATCACATAATAATTAGTAATTTTACAATCCTTTTGTTGACGACTTACGTAAGAACATCGATTATTAGTAATGATTAGTGATGATTAGTATTTCTTTTTGTCCCCTGTGTCAACAAATCTTTTCAATATTCCTCAATATTAATACATGCAGACCCCTGATTACCGAAATGATGCTTCCCAGCATTAAGGCTTTGTGCTATGCACCATTGTTTTGTGCCATTAACCTTTCTTAAGAAAAGTGTTACTGAAAAAAGTGTAGATATGCATGGTTGTGATAGTTAGGGTTATCGAGAATATTTAGCGGTGTTTTCATTTTCAACACAAGTTGATTTCCATATAACGACAGAATCTGTAAGAGTTAGAGGAAGAAAAAAATTATTGCTTATTATTTTGTGATTTGATTGACATATGCAAGCTTCTCTCTGTCCTTAGTACACATGAACGCGTGAGGGAAACAGGGAGTAGATTGGTTTCTTATGCACTACTCCTCCGTGTACAGACATCAGACAAGGGTAGTCAGAACAGTAATGGGGAACTTTAAATGTGCGCTATTTGACCCTCCACTTGTAATTATTATTGATTCAGTTTAATGGATGGATTCGCTGCTAGTATATATGATATAATACTGCTTAATGGTTCATATATATATATATTCATGAATGAATTGAAAGGAAACCCTGTAAAGAAGTTCTGAGCTCAAAATATTTATTATTCTTCCTAGCGGCGGCGGTGTCTTCATTGAAGTTCTGTGTTTATTCGATATGCAGTGTGCATTGTTGACGAAAAGGAGAGTTTAATCCAAGGAGACGGGAAGGACCCGCATCTTGACAGAAGGTATGTCAATAATTGGCAATTATTTCATTCAATATCCAGATAATGTCATTCAGACTTTGTGGTTGTTATTTTGCTTGAGATTTTTCCCATTTGGATTTTATTTTAAAATCTTTCTCTTAATGAAAGTAACATTCGGCCTCTACATTTTTCAGTATATGTTCTTCGAAAATTATTTATTTTCCAATTTCTTTAAAATACAGATTGTTTATAATTAGTGAGAAAAAATGTCAAAGTTCAAAGTTTGATTTCAAATATAGAGTGTCTTAGAACACGCATTATTAGTTTGGTATGAACGTATAAAGTACAGAGAAAATAGTTCCCAAGGGTACTAGAAACAAAAGTCTTGCGACAATTAAGATAGTCAGAAAATTGATTTTTAGCCATATGTGATGTCATATCGTCTTGTAAGATTGCAAGAGGTACTGTGAACTTCTGAAAGTGAAATGAACATTTGTTTTTTGTGAATCTATTGAACACAACTTTTAAAAAATTGTAAAAATATCATATGATTATCTACTTTGAAAAATAAAATGTGCAGTTTATTTAGTGGGAAGCTTACACGGCTTTAATATAAAAAATTCGGGCGCATAAAAATATTCAAACATCGCTGTTCGTTAATGACATGCAATTAGTCTTCAAAAGAAGGATACGTGTATATTTCGGGTTAAGAAAAAATTCAAAAGCTTTTGTAATATATGCACCGAACACGTTAAATATATCATGTTCCCTAGCGTACCTCTTGCATTCAAAAGATATTGGGCCTTAAAAGATAGACAATCTTTTCAGGTGCCATAAAAATTATGCACACCCATTTAACGATTCAATGTGTAGGTAATTTTACATAATATTGTATTCAATTGAAAGACAGTGTTGTCATTTTCTTTAATGTAAATTTAAATGATAGGTTTTCACTCTTCAACTTTGGAAGAGATCTAGCCATTTTCATTCAATTTATATTTTCATTTCTTAGACGATTTTATTATTTTTTCAGTAGTTCTTACTGAATGTTATTCTTATGACAAATGAAATTTTAACAACAGCTTCCATCTGTTTAAATATCTTGAGGGTCGTTTCATTAGAAATGAGAATTTAAGAAACCTGTATCAACGTATTATAATTATGTAAAAATTTTTGCATTTAAATACGTTTGTATGTATATATGTAAAATGAATATGAAAGAGAGTATTAGATGTACCTGAATTTTCTTATTCTCATTTCAAACTTTAAAAGTTTTAAGTTTCTAAATCAAAGTATCTTGGCTATTGAAAATTATTGATTGTTTGCTGTGTTTGACACTGCTTGTTCCTTTTAAAATATCAATGGCTTAAAAAGTCATAAGCTCCTTACAGAAAGTGAACTTAAATTTGGATAATGTTATGACTGTTCTTTTGATAGCCGTGTCTTTCTATTATCCGCGATGTAAGCAAAATGAATCGAAGAACTAGTTTCATAATTCAAAATCTATGAGATTTACACTTTTGTCTTGGTGGGCATTGTAACGGTAAGCTATGTAAGTTACTTTGTTTTCAACCCTTTAAGCTTTCCATGACTGCAGGAAAGTTATTGGTTCAAGGATCTTACGTCTTTGTATGAAAACGGTTAATATGACGTTTTCTCTTTAGATATTTAGCAGTTGATGTCTGTGTTTCGAATTAAGTAAATTAATTTGTTATAATATTTTATATCTATGTTTAGGAGAGGTAATACATGTGTATCATCCTGATATTGATGAAGCTGAAGAAGTAATCAGACCTTTGTTTTTATATTGCAAAAAAGATTTTGAAAATATGTATTATTAAACTAAACTATTTTTTCCTTAAGACATGGAGTTTGTGTTGACGATCGTCGGACTAGGGGGCCTCACAAATCTCCTGATTCGACCTGTACAGAGCGACATTAATAAGTTCAGCAATGCACGGTAGACCTTTCTCTCCTCAGTTTTTTGTCTTTATGCATTGTCTATATTGATATATTTTCTATTCTTCATCATCATGGTATGTAATTATTTTTCTGAGTTCTGTTTTTCCAGGTACTTTGCCATCTATTTTCTTGTTTGCATGGTCACTCTGGGTTATGCCGAAAATGCAAGGTATTATGTTATATCTGTTCTTGAACATTTTGTGAAGTTGTTTTGTTTCTAAGGTTCATTGAGCTATGCAATTGTATTTTCCAATCTTATAAACATGCTTATCATCACAGAGCAAATTTACATTACATGTAATTTTAAATAAAATTGCAGCATTTGAAGAATTGCAATAATAGTGTTAAACATTAGGGCTTCTTTTCTTACCATCACATATTAACAAGATTTGGAAAGCAACAAATTTGAATGTTTATTTTTTATTTTTTTTTTGTATTTGCATGTCTTCTTTTCATTTTAAATCAATTTTTATTTTTTTTTAATATTTTTTTTTTCATTTATGAAATCATCATCGAAAGTTAGAAAATAATGGGAATTTCTTTTTACACAGCGGAAAGTAAGTAGATTTAAATCATACACCAAATGCTTTTTATTTATTTATTTAAATTACGTCCATTTAAACCTATTTTCACGATTAAGGAACTCAAGCCTTGAATTATTTTATTTGCTTTACTATTTACGATCTCTTTCCTCTGATATACTTCTGTAAATAAAACTAAGTCTTGTATTTTTTTAAATTTATAAACATTACCTAATTTTTGTTGATGATTTAAACAACCATACCACGGAAAAGAGGGTGTTGCAGAAACTCGCGATTATTCCCTATATATATGGAGAAAGACATTTAAATACCCTCGTTATGTCTAAATATAGATACGGCTACGTAGAGGACTATGTTTACTGCGGGTATTTCCTGTTTGATACAGCAAAACACTTTCGTCATTTGCACGAAAAAGGTTGGAACAACAAAAAGCACAATGGCTAAAGCAGCATTTTGAAAGATATACTGTCGACATCGTGCGAAAATATTTATCGTGATATAAAACTGCGTCCCATAATCACACTGTTGGTGCTACATCCAAGACATTTCATTTGTTTCAAATCAAATATTGGATACTAACTAAGAGACCAAAACTATTCAAAATTGCAATAACTACAGTATGTGAAAAATGAATTATTTAAACAGTACAGTAAATTTGTTTTCCAAGACAAAACTAAATAAATTATTACTCAATTAACTTCTTGACATTCTCTCTCTCTTTCAAAAAATATATAATTCCATTGCACTACCATTACATATGGGAAAAAAATTGAAAAAAAAATGCAAAAATGATCCACTCCAGGACTCGAATCCATACTCTGGTAAATGTACGAGTTGGTAACCAACCAGCATATCCACTAGACCATTTCGGACACGATGCTTTTTCAGAGTTATTTAATGTACGCACTTTGCATTTCGTTGTAGAATAATTTTTATTCAGTTTTTGCGTATTTCAAAAATGTGCCTCTTTGAAACAAAAATCGAAAATGGCAGTTTTGAAGAAAATTATTTTGTTTCAAGGAGGCACTTTTTCAGAACAATGGGGATTCCCTATTCAAAAGACGGAAAATCTGATATTTTTTGCCGTGAGACTAATTTTCACATCATTTAATGAAAATTTGGAAGTCAATACGCAGATTCCAAATATTATTTCTTGTTGTGCTTTAGATATTGATGCATTTGAAAAAAAATTAATATGAGTTTCTGCAACATAGAAATTCTTCCTTTAATCTGCTACACATTTAGGGAAAATAACAAACGAACTGCAACACCTTCTTTCTCAACCTATATTTCCTGAAGGATTTTAATAAATCAAATCCTCTGTATACGTATTATTTATTCATAAAACATCGTATATTTTGTCAATAACTTGCCATTGGATGTTATCGGTTGAACATTGCTATTGTTGGCTCATTTTTATGACTATTTCCTTACACGCAATAACTTATCCAAAGTCTTGAAATTATATTGAGTATTCTTTATGTTAACCAGGGGAAGCATCTAAAATAGAAATATTATTAATAATCAGTTTCTCTTTATACAAATTCTAATACTTTTTTGATTAAGAATTTTAATTAAAGGAACCGTATATTTGAAATTGGCGTACTATATCTCATTCGATCTCTCGAATTATTCACAGTAATGAAGGCAAATTTATTCTCCTTGCAATTCCTTTACAATAAATTCTCGACTTCTTAGTGTTATTGCTTATTAATAAATATTATTATGGCATGTATGTGACCTCAGATTCTCTTAAATGCGCTCACGAGGGAAGATAGGAATGTGTTGGCAAAATAACTTATCATAACAATCAACATGAAATGAGCAAACATTAAGCACTATTGTTCCACACGTCTACAACTTCAACAAATGCTTTTATTGGAAGACACGAGTGCTTCAGCATGTTCAATGCTTTTTGCAATTTTACGCGCTTATTCCTTTGAAGTGTCATTTTCATATTCCAACTGTTTACCATTACCTTTTTTTCACAATATTTTCATTCTTTCGTTGATTCGACAAATGCCTTTGAATTTAAATAAAAAGACACCACAAAGCTGTCTATTTGTTTCATATTTGGATACTTTACTAGAAAAATACATAAATTGCGACATTGTAACAAAACTATGAAAAAGTGAGCATTTCAAATTTTCTACGTTAACTTCAGCAAAATCGAAAGTATAATCTTGTAATATTCACCTTCTTATAGAGTTTGTCTCCAAATTGATTTTATATTCAAGAGTATGCTCTACGTATGAACAATTTCTAAAAAACGAGGTAAGCTACTGACAAGTAAGAATGATACCATGATATCAACAGGCCCGTTCAAAGTCAAGATTTCGTTAATTCTATGGTCTGCACATGGCTTGATGATTAAATACAGTCTATCGTAAAATTGAATATAGACTGACTTTATTTCAAGTTGTTAGGTCATTTATTTTACTCTGTATTGTCAATAGATTTTGATTATGACACAGAGCACACAGCGGCTTTCACCAATCCGAGAGGATGCTTATTCATTCATGGTATCCGATCCTACATGTACTTTCGAAATTAAGAACATTCAAATTGTCATGATTTTTTCACTGAGCTTGAAATTTTATCCAAGAACACCAGAGTAATAAGTTAAAAATGACATATTTTGAAAGGAATCAATTTTGCTCAAACATATCAATTTGGCTAAAACATAATTAATTATGTCAATTTTTCTGTTAACACTTGTGAAGTCGCGAACAGCATAATTTATGCATTTCAACGTATTGTGCTTAAATTATAAGAAACTACAAGAAAGGTTAGTATTAATTATAAGTAGTCAGTCCAGGAACAAGCTACATATATAAGAGTAACTTCACAGGAAATATTTTAAAATCTGTCCAAATAAGAACCTATTCATAAAAAATAAGAATTTTTTTTTATTATGAAAATGAGCAAGACTCCACTACTTGTTCCTTCTACTTTTTATAATGAATAGAATGATTATGTATGTAACTAGTTGGTATTAAGCATAATTAAAAGTAGAAATAAACTTTCTGATTAAAATTTATGTATTTGTACATGCGTGCAATTATTTTTTCTTAATTTTACAACCTCTGTATATTTTCTGTGTTTGACTTTCGAATATTTCTAAAATTATACGTAAAAAATGATTTTAAACAATTACACTTTATCATTCCATTTTATGCATAATTTTATCAAAAATAATTATTTTGAGTAAAAGCTATATTTCCTTCTTGTTGTAGGGAAAAGATATTGCAAGAAATATTTATAGATTATGATGGGAAAATTCCACCTAATTACGACAATGGTAATTATGGAATTATTGGCAAATTGAGATTAACCTGATGTTTGATTTTTGTCCAAATTTTGTTTAAATACAAATATGGTTTTCATAGCTTTGTTTAGCGGAATGACAACTTTCTTATCGCAACAATGTAAGGAAATTAAGTAACTGGTCTGTACATGCATTCCTAACAATATGGTGGTTACGTTCTATTCTTTGGGGGTATGAAATCGAAGACAACGTTACGAAATCTTCTTACCAATATTATGGACATGTCATGAATCATAACATTTGACATTTAGTATCACATTTGCCACATTCGTCGAGACATCCTCCAAAAGGTCAGTTTATTGAAGGTCAAAAGTTAACGTCACAACGAGTCCTTTAGGTGTTATGAACACGATATGTAGAGTACAATTAATATTTGGGTCTCAAATGTGTTCCAGAGGTGTACGGTGACCGGAAGCGTATGTTTAGGTATTTGAGGATGCAGAAAGTCAATGAAACTAAACCCGAGAGATGGATAGGATAATATTTAAACTAAATCAACTGAATTTCCAACATTTATAGGGGAAGTAGCTATAGATGACCAATAGTTTAAAATGATGTCTAAACATGCTTATACTACATGTACATGTAACAAAAATTAGTACTGCTCATTTTAGTAGTAAACTAGGAGAGAGTAGCAAGACTATTCCTTCCACAGACAAACATTTCAGGAAAGTAATTGGGTCCCTAATCCTAAGCATCCGACAATCGACATAACATTTAATGACTGTTTTAACATTTAATGACTGGTTTGTTATAATTATATTTTTGACCGTATGATAGGAACAAATTCTGTTTAATAAATGTATTTTCTTGTTGTCGTTTTTTTAAACACACAATCTGTTTTTATTTGTAGACATTCCTGTCAATTCTTCTGTACAGCTTTACATCATCAGTGTAGACACAATCAATGAAGCCACAATGGTATGTAAAACTTTTGTAAAATCACTAACTGGTATTTAGATTAGGTGCAGTTTTAATTGTCTGAAAAATATTGCTTCTTTTGGGATTGGATATCTTGATAGAAGGCGAATTATTTTGAAGCCTAAAATTTTAACTTTTCATGTAAGACGTAAACTTATGGGGCTCCTTAAACCAATTCATCAAAGAAAATATAATCCTAACAAAAATGAAGTAAACGAAGAGGAATCGTCCAAAAAAGTTCTATAAACAATATAGATACGTGAAGAGGGCACAAAGCACGAAATTTCAGAGGTGGATAAGGTGTCTAGGAGAAGATAAGTATCCGCTGTTGACTGGTCACACCCGCTGTGAGTCCTATGTATTGGTCATGTAGACGAAATTTCAGAAAACACAATTGGTTTGACACAAGCTAGCCAAAATATGACACAATGGTAGGGTATATTTGCTTAAAAAAATTTGATAACGACCATAGAATTGACCAAAAGATAATTGTAAACAATGTTGTTAAAATCTGTGTAATATTAACGCATCTGCTTCGCTTTAAAATTGATCATACGCAGAGAAATCTTTTGAGTAACAAAGAAGTTGAGGGACAAAAACACCACAAGCAGGTGTTAGTGGGATATTATTACACGTACAAGGATAGTTGATATGATAGAAAAAGCTGAAGTCTTGTTTGTCATCATAAGTTGTTAATTGGCCTTTATCATCTCTAATCAGTAAAACCTCATAATATGAAACAGGTGTGGCAGGCTCTATGGTGTCTTTGATCTGAGTTCACTGGGATATATCGAGTCGGCATATGAGTAAAAATAACTATCATTAATTAATAAAACATCGTCAATATATTTGAATGTCGAATTAGAGGCCTGATCAAGTGTTTTCCTCATCTCAAGTATGTTTTAAATAAATTCTGCTGCGCAGGAATAAAATTACAGGTTTGGATAATAAAAGACACATTTAGTACACATCGGAATTCGCAGTTCGTTGGAAAACCTGGTCTCCGAAAACTACATCGTAAATGTCGTCAATGAAGAAGTGAGTTATTTCAAAGTGTTTTAAAATAAAAAGAGACATTTCAAAAATATTAGCTGTAGTGTCTGTGTCCAGAAAAATATTTCCGTTTACATAAAACAAAGCATAATTTTCTAATTTTCCAAATGACTGTGTTTCGTATTTAGAATTTACTTTAAAAAGAACATTTCATAGCACAGTAATGGCAATGTTTTTTCTTGATAACGTGATTACCATCTTTTCTATCGTCATCTTTCCTAATATTAATTTTTATGTACAGAACAGTATAGCATAATTACAGTCATGCAAATTGATTGTATAGAGATGTATGTCTTCATATTGATTCGATATGTACAATATACGACCAATTTCTAAAGTGATGCAACCTGTTGACAAATTAGTAGATGATACAAGGATCTCAGTAGTCTACTTTAAAGACATTTTGCAAAATATCTGGTCGATTTTATGACATAGGAAACAAATGCAATCTATCATTAAGTTGAATGTTGACTGACTTTTTTCAAACAAGTCGTTACGCCATCAATTTTGCACATTAACCCGATCATAACAAAGAACACATGGCAGTTGTAACATGTCGGCACTGGATAGTCATACTCGTCAGTGGCACGTGATCCAATGCTTGGAATGAATGTTCGAATGTATCAGCATAGCCTATCCTCCCTACATAAACCACTGTTAACTGTGTTTACCATTTTGTAGGATTTCTCCATGAGCTTCTTCTTAAGACAAAGATGGATTGATAACCGTATGAATTACACTCCAGCGTTTAACATGACACGTCTAGAGTTAGACAACAGACGAATGGCGGACGTCTGGGTTCCCGATCTCTATTTCGTGAATGAGAAGAAAGCAGACGTCCATGATGTCACTGTCCCTAATAAATTGATGCATGTCTATCCAAATGGCCTGATCGTATACAGTATGAGGTAAAGAGTAATCATAATCAAAGCTGACATTTGTGTTGTGGATAAACACGTCTCTGGTGTGCGGTTTGTAAGGACATCTGAAAGTTCAGCTGATGTCGATAACGATCCAGAATGATGCTGATTAGTATTTTTATAATCTATATTATATATTACTTTTTACAACTATTAAGTAGCTGCCTTTTCAAAAATTATTTCTTATTACATGAGTAGACAGTGAGAAAACTAACCGAAAATGCTCTCATATATCATGTATAATTTATGTATATATATTTATACATGTTATAGTTTCTTCATTGAAATAAATCTCCTGTACCGGCGCTACAAGCAATATGTTGATTCTGATCTCAATCTCTTTGAAGTTTTTTATTTACCATTATCGTTTTTTGCGTGTTCCCTTGTGCACTATAATCGGAAACCTAATGGCAATTTTGATCCGTTTTAAAAGCTAAGATCACCACTGATGTTCATACATATTAAGTTTTTAAATTCACTAATTTATTTTTGTTTTCGCCAGAAAAGTGTGATATTTGGTTGTGTTAACATGCACTAAAAGCTTTTACAAACTCTTATAACCATTGCATTCCAGGATTGGCTAGATTAACCGAGAGTAAAATACATTGTTGGACTTCTATTGAAAATACACTTCCCCATGTCCCTTGGGACATTGTAATCTTTCTATCATAAATGCTCGGGCCCTTCTTTCAGAAATTCTACGCCATCTGCTGATAAAAATGAAATAGAAACTGGTTAATGGCCGTTCTATACTTGTAGACCCTTTCAATCATAATTATACTATAGTATGTAATTTATCATTGCAGAGTTACGGCAGTGTTTTCTTGTACTATGGATCTGCAGAAATATCCCCTAGACGATCAGAAATGTGCGATAGTTATGGAAAGCTGTAAGAACGATTTACAATCAATACCATTTTTATTGAGACTCAATAGCATATTGTTCAGTGAAGAATTCCTTATTGCTAAACTAAGATTAAAAACATATAAAAAAACTTTTTTAATTTTTTTATGTGAACAACAAATACTTGATTTCTGGATTTATGAATCGAACTAAACTTGCATGCTTAACACATTGTACATGTCTTGCTATAAGTATTGGTTGAAACACCGATTACACTTTTTTTTTTTAAGTTTCCTTTTCAGAAACACACTTGTTAAATGGTTTCCCTTTTCAGATGGCTACAGTACAGAGACGCTATATATGCGATGGCACGAAACTCCTGTTGAAACATCAGACAATCTTCAGCTTCCTCAGTTTGAAATGCAGAATATAATGCAGTCCAGGTGTGACGTCACTTACGCTGGAGGTGAGGATATATACAAATCAACTGTAATTAATTAAAGAGAGATCTCATGCTTCGTGGTTTTGGTTTATTATGTTTAAGTTATCTTTGCAGAGTTACTAATAAAATGTATCAAATTGTATGATTATGCACAAAGCTGATATTCTAAAACATTACAACATGTGTTTACATGACATTTGTAACCTATACGATGATTAATGCGTTTTATACAGTAAAATCAATACTTTAAAAAAAGAATTACATTTTGGTCTACACGACGTAGTTATTTAAAGAAATGGATTTAATCTCTTGATCTACAAGGACGAATCAATGATCATTTACGAATGTTAATTTTACTTTTTACTTAACTGTTTGCTCAGAAGTGCCCCTTGGTTGAATTTGTTTCTTAGATGTTTAAAAACTTTTAAATACATTTAAAAAATTAAATGACAAAATTAAATTAATTTCAAACGTCTAAATGCTTCTGAAAAGCCATGAAGAGTTGAAGGTGACCAATTTATTGTCGAACTATTGTCATATGGGTCACAAAAGAAATTTACAAGCATAGGAAAATAAATGTTATATCTGATGCATATTAAAATTTTTAAAATCATTTTCATGAGATAAAAGTAGTCTTCCGTCAGCAAGAGAGAGTTATTTTTATTATCATAAGTTTCATTTTAAAAGCCTAACAGAAATGAGATGTTGTAAGGAAACTTTTAAATCAATGTATCAGGTAATTTAATCTAATGGAATTGTATAGAATTTTTCTAGAAACGAAATGTTGCAGGCAAGAATGGCTGATGAACAGACTGACCCAAGTCAATATTCCCTCCCTTTAGAGAAAGCGGGGAACAAAATTTACCAAAATATTATTTAGATCTGGAAAAGGAAACAATTTTCAGAATGAAATATTTTGTTAGAAAAGATTGACATTACTTTAATTGGCATTAGATTCTTTTGGGTGGAAGATCACTTTCGATTATTTTTTTTAAAAAGAAGCTTCTAAATCTCTTTACAGTCACATACGCTTGTTTAAAGATGGAGCTACATCTTCACCGAACTTTAGGATATTACATCATTCAGGTTTATGTGCCTAGCTGCCTCATTGTGATATTATCCTGGGTCTCATTCTGGTTGAATGTGGAATCAACACCAGCCCGAATTTCCTTAGGGTTGTTGACAGTGTTAACTATGACGACACAAAGCTCCGGCGCTAAGGCATCATTGCCTCGTGTCTCTTACGTGAAGGCCATTGACATATGGATGTCAACGTGTTTGATATTTGTGTTTGCTGCTTTAATTGAATTTGCGTATGTGAATGTGTTAGCAAGAGTTGAACAACGAAGAGGAAAATCTGTTACGTCAAATATGAACGAAGCTAAGGAGTTCGAAGTAAGTTCAAAATGTCAGTGTGTATTGTTAATCATGTTCAAATCAGACTTTGACCTAAATAAACCAGATTGCTTGTAAAATGTTAATAGAATAGATAATCTTTCTTTTTAGGAGGAAGAAAAGGAAAAGAAAAGATGTTGGTGTTTTAGGAATCTCGAAGACAGAGAACGAGCACGATTGGTTGACAAAATATCACGTGTTGTTTTTCCTACTGTTTTTATATTATTTAATATCATTTATTGGATATTGTATGTGTTTTGGGAACCAGCGACCGTAGATTAATTTAAACGAATATTTTTCTTTTCATTACAATTGCCAATGTATATTTACAAACCTTTGTATTGACCAATCTGTACGTAATTTGTGAAATGTAACCAATTCTTGTCTCTTAAATCTACAATCTGTGGTAAATTCCATTAATATCTAACAGAAGGGAGTATTATTGTATGTTTTGAAAATGAAATTTGTGCATTGAAGCAATGTTCAACTGGTTATCAAGTAAACACTGACAAGTGTTTGGAATTTGTACTTTTTATCATCCCCCTGTTTAAAACAGTGGTTTATGATGTAGCTCATGGTACAAATTAACCTTCATTGCATCACATTATTAGGCTTTGGGTTATACTAAATTTGACTAAAGAATATTCTGTCTAATTTATTATACATAGAGATAATGGCGGGTGTATCCCGTTGACAGACAGAGGATGATTTCTTCTTTTAGGCACCTGAGTTGACTTCTAGAATTTCCAGGGGTCCTTGTTGTATGCCCTGTTCACGGAATTGTATTGTTTGTAGGCCTTTTAAGACCGATCACTTCTTGTTATCTTTTCCTTTTTCTCATGTAAAATAATATTGTACAACAGAATTTGTTTATTATTGAAACCTAGCGAATTTAAATACATGTGCATCTCTTAATTACAACTTCCAGCCTCCCTCCAGAAACATGCATGATCTAGGTTACACAGAAGAGAAAAAGACAAATATAGAAAATACATGTTTTTAAAATAATACATGCCAGAAATATTTTCATATTTGTTCTGAAAATCAGATAGATACCGTGGTAATAAAAATGCAGTCAATGAGAATTATTCAATTCATCTGATTTCAAAAATATTTTTACTTTTTTTGAACTAACAAAAAATGCATTAATAGTTTGAAAAAAAATACTTTCATTTAGTATAAAACTGTTTTCTTACCAGAGAATATTTGTTGTAACTGATATTTTTACTGTTATAAAAATGTAAACTTTGCTGAAAACTATTAAACCATTATTTTTATTCATCATACATGTAGTCCTAATGTCGACACTCTAGTTTGTTTTGGGGGTTTTCAGGAGGTTTCATGACCTGTTCACAAATTTTATTATATTTGTTTTGGTAGAAGGATAAATTTTCATTGAACCGGCCAAACTATCAAATTGCATTTCCAATATACAATATAATGTTTCATTGACGGAACAATCTTTCGAAAAACTTATTAACGAAAATTGCGTATAATATAAATTGTTGTAATAAAATCACAGATTAATATGTGAAGTCTTGAATAATTTATACATCTAGCAATGCCATGAATCGTTGAATTCACTAATCCCCCATTTCATTACAAAAACCAGATTCTGTTTCCTCTTGAAATATCAAACTATTTTCCTATTTGCTAGATCTAAACATGGATTAAGTAAATATCCCATAATTAAACGATTTTCGTCGATTTGTCTCTTAAGATGATTGTGTTTACACTAAATGAATTAGTCATTCCATAACAAATTAATGGAGGATACACTGTTACTCTAAAGCAATTGAGATTTGCCAAGCAGAACAAGATGTTTAATGCGGGAATACAAACAGAATTCTTGCAGACATAAAAAAAAATATAACAACTACCGGTAGCTCTGTCAAAAGTTCCATGGTTTTGTCCGGTAGAAAATAAGTAATCCTGGTGTGCTAGTAATCATTGACGGCTGCTTTTTTTTTCAATAAAAATGGGACTCGTAATTAAATTACTTAATACCTTCAATCGATCATTTGCAAAATGATTTTGTTGAAATCAATTCGATTGTACACACAAGTACTCTGAAAATGATAAGAGCGAGGGCGCTTTTGATTGGCATTCGGCAGGAATCTGGGCGTAATTGAAAAGTGAAAATTTTATCGACATGTCAGATGAAATTTTAAATTCTTTTTCATTTATCGAGTTCCTGTGCAACAGGAAACTAAAATATTTTCCCGAAATTGAGCTTTGAATTGCTAAAAAATAACTTGAAATTTGGCCATATCAGACATTTGGTACAAAGTGGTACATTTTGAAACATGTTTTTCTAAAAATTTTCTATCGCTGGGTCTTCTCTCCATGATTTTGAAACATTATCTGTTTGTATTCTAATTCAAAGAAACAAATACACATTTTAAAAAAATGGAGAGAAGACCCAGAAACCACGAAAAATGAACTTTTTCCCAAAACATCCAAATGTGTGAATGTGGTGCTTCTTTATCCTTTTAAAGTCACTGGTATATTTGTAGCGGTGATAGCTCAGTAAGTTGGGTTTCCTGTTCAGTGCACTTGAAGCCAAAAGTTTTTTGGTTCGAGCCTGGCATGGGGCATTTTTTTTTTTTTCATGCAAACAACCATTTATTTTGTCAGTTTCGTTTTATGTACTGATGTATTAATATTTTGAAATAGATAAGTTTTGGTTCAGTTTGATTCCAAGCAGAAATCAAGATCTTCTATTCTATAATGTACTGTGACATGTAACGTATCATGCATCTATGCATAAAATATTTTAGGTGTTTATTTTTTGAAACATTAGTATGTTTTAGTACCCCCTGGGAAAAACGGACATAAATGTTTCAATCTCACAAGGTCTTTCAAACTAAATGAAATAAAAACCTATGGACGTGTTTGTAAAATCTGACCAGCTATGTTCAGTCAACCAAATCATGGATATTTAAACCATAAATGTTTCGTACAAATGATTCCTGCAGATCACACGCCAAATGCGCCCATCTTCTTTATTAAAAAGATGCTTGAGTTTCTGATTGACAATAACTATATAAGTGGTTTTTGAAAACCAGGACTTCCAACAATATATACGAATTCCCATGAGTACCAATTACTCTTCGTTATTAGCAAATCTTGTTCGTTTGGTTTTTTTTTTATATTCATGCATATGAAGCAGACGTTGTCCATAATCTTATAGGTGAAAAGAAGATTTTTTTTCAAAACACTTGTGATATTCAACTCGAGATTTAGATACAAGTATATCGACGATACATATATTGTAAATTTACAATGGTTGTTTCCATTAAATTCTTATGTCGATACAGTATATCAAGGTAAGCATGAAATAAAAGACATCACAGAATCTGACAAATCTGTATCATATTTAGATATTTTACTTTAAAAAGAAGTTAATGGTAATCGTACAGACAAGTTTTATGATAAACGTGGTGCAATTGACGTTTCGATCATCAACTTCCCTTACTTATGCAGAAATATACCTTCATCACCTGCATGCGGGGTTTACATGCATTTTCTTCTTTAAAACGATCATAACGATTTCTGTGATCCATTGTAATAAATTTTACGCTGTATCATGAAATCATGCAATGGTTCACCCAAAGATGAAAATTAAAAATATCTTTGCTTAATAATTATTGTAAGCATGTAACCCATCTGTGTGTTTTAATCTACTAAACATTCCGGAGTTATTGAATTCATAAGACAAAATTAATTTTCATGTGCTGCGTATAGTTCAAGAGTTACTCCAAGATTTACCCGCACCTTCCAAATCCAAATTGCTTCATAAGATGGCTTTAAACAAGTGCATCCTCATCCTCCACAGCAAAGAAATCCTATAAATCCCAGACCTGTAAAACTAATATTCCTATATATTCATATTGCATATGATTATATAATATGATTTCAGAACTCAGAATTATCTTTAAATTTAAAAAAAAAATAGTTTTCGTACCATATTCTTAATTGAAAATAATCATTATCAGCTATGAGAAAAAATATTACAATATTTTTAATTTTATCCACAATTTTTTAAAGGTATTCAATGTATATTAGCTAGAGGAAATTTGGGGAGGAAAGGTGATACAGTTGAGCCTGTATGTTTATTTATGCTATGGGATTTTGAACAATTTCAAATAATTTCAAACTAGTTGAAAACGCATTGCTAGATAACAATAAATTCAAAGTGAAATAAACAAAGTTCACAAGACTGATAACATGTAAGGAGGTGTGCCATTTTGCACGACGAAAGTTTTTGAAGAGTTATCTACCCTTGATGAAAAGAAGAAAAACTTTTACATCTCAAAATTTCTGCGGTAAATAACTTATTATATTTCATGGTTTAATAAAGAAGGAGATTATGCATATATGTTTGAAATTCAAATTACTTTTTACAATATCTTATAAAGACATTTTTGGTACAGTATTTTTATTTGATGACATCCTCAAATTGCTACCATGATAAAAAAAATATCATACAATTCAATTATTAGATGCAAAATCGTCATAATGATTATACATTTAATTCCTTAATTCACAGATTCTTATATACATGTATAACTCAGTTCACAATACATGTATATGTTTTTAAGAGAGAGAAGAGAAAGGATAGAGAAAGTGAGGGCAGAGGGCAAAATTAATATACCAGAAAGCAGATTCTTCCAAGCTTTATAAAAATTTGTAATACTTAATTACTGTTCTTATGAGCAATATACTTAATAGTTTCATAAGTACTCTGATAGAGAATATCAGTCCATTTAAGGAAGGAGTTTACACTCTATAGATAAAATGTTTCATTTAAATAGCAAGTAGAAATTTTAATTTGTCTGATTTTTCAATTGATCCAACTATAACTTCATTCATGTGAAATTTGAGTAATTCAGAATACTAGTAAATGATCTAGAAACAAGTTTCAAGCTACAATCGTAACAATGTAAGTAAATAAATATATACATATATATATATATATATATATATATATATATATATATATATATATATATATATATATATAACCCATTTTTTTTTGCTTTGGTAAGAAAGATAACCCAAGAATACACCTAAAAGTAGTGATTCAAAAACTCTATCATGAGCAATGTCAACATGGACATGGGTCTCTTAAATGCCACGGGGGTAGCAACCCCTGTCGCCTGTTCACACCCACCTGTACTCCTTGTCATGCAACATTGCTTGGCTAAATCGACAGTAGAATTTGAGAAATGTAGTGTTGATATTCTTGTATCATCGAGTCGCCCGCTTTGCGTAGTGGTTAGAGCGTCTGCTATAGAGTCGTAAAGTAAGGAGTTGATCCCTACGTCGCGGGTTCAAATCCCACTGTGGGACGTGGAGACCGGTCCTTTGGATGAGACCTTATAAACCGAGGTCCCGTGTTGCAGTAGGAAATGGCACGAAAAAGATCCCTCCCTGCTCAATCGCTCTGAGTGCCGAGTATAGAACAGATTTTGCAGCTCTCCACAGCAAGTGGTGGCGTCTCCACAAGAGTGAA